AAGACAAATAAGGTAAATAAGGCAACGGTAAAGTTGCAGTTATTTCACCGTTTACAATTAGACATTCTTTAAATAAACTATCAAATTTTTGTTCACATTTGAGTTCTGCGGTTCCGGTATAAAGATGATCAAATATTGGATTAATACTTGTTACATCGATTGTAAACGCTTGTGAATCAGCAAATTTAATCTGTTCATTTTCGTAAGTAAATCCCATATCACATTGCTCAATTAATTCATTCCAATCTATGTCATTCTCTTGAAAAAATTTTACCTAATGTCCGCAAGAGATTGGTTGATATCCGTGAACAATCACCTATTAAAATTATCCCAAGATTTTTTAACTTCTTAAAGGACGATGGAACTCTTGTATCAGAATTTAGAGAAAAACACATGACATTAGGAGGAATTCTTGGTTCAAACAATACATTGCATGTTTCGCTTGACGAGAAAAGGGAATATATGTGTGGTTTAAGAGACGATGTTATAGTCAATATAGGAAACATTATTAATGTTTGTCAGGATCGGATTAATACATTAAAATCAATATGTATTGCGAGGAACCATTTGTTGGTTTGATACTCTTTCAGATGGTTCTTCCGTTGGTTATTTACTTCTCTGGTGGTTACTAGTTCTTACTGTTGGTTGGTTAGTACAGCCCCAGTAGTTCGTATCGTACCCAAACTATCACTCTATAAGATTGGGTAGTTGGTTACGATAATAAATTATATTCAAGTGTATTAACATCAAAAGAGGATTTATGGTGATTTGCAATTACGAAGGAGGCAGACGGCTAGATGAATATGAAAATAAAATAGTCATATCATAAATATGTTCAACTGTTCGAGATTCGTGTATGAAGACACAAGTGATGAACTCTCAAGTCGTGGTGGTATATCGGGCTATTTATTCATTTGATGACTACGGATCTTCGATACTACTGTAATCTTTACCTTACATGCTAACAATAACTTTATAGATGAATAAGATAGAAGAATAATAATGTATTATTCTAATAGAAACTATACAGAAACCTGGATACCTTAATCCAAAGTAACTATATAGTTTCTACACATATTCAGGCTTCTGTATAGAATACGTAGAGGGGCCAATACGAATTGTGTAACTGTTATGATCATATGGTCATGTAGTCTAATTTGTGTAATTACAGAATTAAATCGTAATAATCAGCCACTAGCACTAAATTAAGAGTTATAACATTCAAAGATAAAGTATTTTTAGATAGTTGGTAGCTTACCTACAAAAAATCCCCCCCCCCCCCTCGTGACTTTTATCTAATTAGATTGAAAGATCAGGGGTAACCAGTGAAAAAAATTCAATGTGCGAATGTGCGCCCCCGCACATAAAATTTTTTTTTCGCACAAAAA